TATTAATAATTGGGAACAGAAAATGATTTTATTTTATTTTTGAAGCAAAGGATAAAAAAAAGGGACCCATATATAAAAGTGGAAGCGTTTCCCTTACACAAATAGGTTTTGAATTTATCAACCCAACTTCAGCGCACAGGGACGCAAAAGCGTTCAAATATGTCGTCACCAACTCCCAATTCACAAGACACCCAAGTGAAGTCTAAGATTCATTTTGGGAATATATTTCTTATGTCATATGAGATAATTTGTTTTATATAACATACACAAAATTACTTGGGACCTACTGAAAAAAAGAAAGAGAAAGAAAAAAAAGTGAATTTCACACACTTTTTTATATGTTCCATAAAATAATTTGTCTCATATAATATGAGACACTTATTTAATTTCCCATCATTTATATACGTTAACTAACCACAAATTCTTTATTTCCAGAAGCAGTTGTTCTTGCATTGAGCATTCAGAGTAATAATAGTAATAGTGTACAATTATATATACATTTTCCTCAACAACTTTGTATCGACTTTTGCAATTGAAATTTAAGGGACATTCAACATTTTTTCTACAAATTCTGAAGAAGCTTGTCAGCATAACGCATACAATGAAGATACTTAGTTGCATGTTTAAAATTTTATGTCAACGCGTGGTGAGCTGGAGATTGTCCCGTTAAATCAGATAAACCCATATGTCTCACATAAATATTGCATCAAGCCAACCATCTTAATTTATTCCAAGTACTCGTATAAGCAGCGTTCAAAATTGACCTATGAAAGATATAGTAGTTGAACGAATTTGTTTAATATTATATCAATAGCACACAATGTAAACCGAGCCTTTAAATTAGTTTAAAATCATATCAACATGCATGTAACAAAAAAGGTTTGTTACTCAGCAAGTCTCCCGTTAAAACTCTAATATTGCGAACGATCACTGACAAACATGTGAGAGTCGCTGCTAAAAGATCATAGCATTGAAAATAATTTCTATTCCCGCTCACGAATATGCGGGTTAGGTTTTCCAATGGGTAAACTATGTGAAGATATCATTATAATTTCACATTAATTGTCTAACGAGTTTCTATTATCTCTCTTCAGTAGCATTACAAAGGTAGGGTCCAATAAAAATTTATGAAGAGATATAAACACAAATTTTTCATGTGAAATTTTAACCTAAAATGAGAATTTATTCCCATCTTGAATACATTGGGGGCTCATTTGATGGATCAAAATAGGGTTGAGGGTTCGTTTGCGTACAAGATTGGAGTAATAAATGATTTTATATTTTAGTATACTTTTAACATATCCCTTTACATAAGACCAGCGGCGGAGCCACACATGCGTCAGCAGGTGCCTTGGCACCTGCTTGGTTTTTTTTTTTTTTTTTACTTATTATGTATATTACATAATTAATTATAATTAATCAAGATTCAAATTATAATTTGGCATCACCTAAATAGAAAATCAAATGCTCAATACAAAGTAACAATAAACTATCTAAATACATACAAATAATAAAGAACGTGTACAGTATGTTATTTTTGTGTTTCACCTTCTTTTATTTTTTATCTCGTATATTTTTTTTTGCTTTATTCTAATTAGTTATGTTATTTATTCTTATTCTTATTATTTTAAAAAAGAAAGACTTCTAAACTTAATCATAAAAATGATTAGTTGACCTATTTCAAAATTTGGACTCAATTAAACTAAATAAACCCCTTAAAAGTAGGAAAAAAGATTTGTGTTGACGAACTCTGCAAGTGCACCGATCGTACAAGTAATAAAGTGATAAAGTAGAGTTGTCGATCCCACGAGGACTGATGACCAAGCAATAATTTATTTATTTAATCAAAGTTGGATCGATCATTAAAGGTTTTCTTGAGGATATTGAGATTATATTAAAAGCAGAATTTGTAAAACTATTTTTGGTTTTTAATATTTTAGAAATTAAATTCAGAATTTAGAATACTAGAAATTGAGTTTAGATTTTTAATAAAAAGGCGTAATTAGGATTCAACTTCCTCAATGGTTTCTTAACGAGTTTGCCTATTCTTACGATTACATTCAAGATTAAATTATTAACAGCTCTTTCTATAATTGACTAAATCACAATCCCTTGGTAATTTAATTCTTTATTCTAATCCAAAGCCTAATCCCTTAGTACTATTTCATAAAATAAGCATTAACGCAAGAACTCACAGTTATAAAATTCACAAGTCTATCCTTAGATCGTGTAAATTCCAGCAATCAACCAATCAGAATCACATACCAACATCCCTATTGTCATACATGACTCATATGTTTATCTACGAGTGATCAAGTCATAAATAAAACTAAGCATAAATATCAGATTGATTGCATAATTTAGAAACAAGAATGTAGTTCATAAGAATAAACAAACATCAACTAAGAACCCATTGGTTCTGTATCTTCCTAACTACTAAAATAATTTAGCTACTCATAATTATAAAGACAGAATTATAATAAACTGTAAAATAAATAAAGTTCATGATGAAACTTGATTAAGGAAGACGATCAATGATGCAGATTGGATTCCTCCCTTCTCCTCTGCATCGCTCTAGCGTTCCTCTTTCGCTCTTGCCTTCGTGTTTGTCTCTGACTTTTCCTTCGCGTTCCAGAATGATTTTCACGGCTTCATTCGCGTTGTATTTAAAGGGTAAAATTTGGCCTTCTAATTTCTAGACCCGCTCGCTGAGGATTAATTTTGATTAATTCTTTATTTTTCTTGATCATTATCCTTTGTAACTGATCCCAACTCATCTTTATCAGGTTAGTAATTTGTTATTCTATTATGAAACAACCTGAAACAGTGTGAAAAGATATCAGAATCTTATCTAGTTGTTAGAATCTTAATATCTTTTGGATTTATTAATTAACATTATATTTTTAATTATATTAATTATTATTTTCACTATATCTGATATTAAAAGCATAGTATATTTGACACTTATCAATTTGTCCTTTTAAAGGACAGAACCTTGTGTCCTTTTGATTTTTGACACTATATCTTAGTGGTAAAACATAGTTATAATATGAAAAATTGCTTTTTTTTCTCTTTCCCCGGTCACTTCAGCTGACGTGTAGAGAGAGAAAAATAACTTTTCATGAATGCAAGTAAGACATAATGTTAAAAACTATGTCTTACTGGTAAGACATAATGTTAAAAACTAAAAAGACACAATTTGTGTCCTTTAAAAAGATACACACTTAACCCTTCAAAATAACAATCATGAAACCAAATGAATAACAGGTCTATAGTTATGGAATATGAAGGTCTATTAAACTATTGTGTTTTGCGTTATTGGAAACACAAAGAATAGTCAAAAACCTAATTCCCAAATGTGAGAACTTTCCTTCGTGCTTATGGTTGTTGCAAACAAGGGCGATGTTATCTAACGAGAGATATTGAAAATTTAAGTAATAGAGAAAATAAAAGAGGAGACGAAGGAAAATGCTTATTATACATATAATTATTATATGAGTGAGGATATTCTAACTACCAAAAAGTTTTTGAAGAGAGAGGAAATATTAATCTAATGGTGATTAGATAGGTAGTAAGTTGGTAGTGGAAAATTTTGGTAGTGAGAATATCCCTCCTCTTATTATATTTGTGTGTTTTCATATTCTTAGGACAATGTTTTGTTCATTACTTATTATGTTGTGGAAGGAAAGTGAAATTCTTATGTTTGAAATGCTTATCAAAAAGTTTAGTGTATTTTTATATTTTTTATTTGATATATAATCAATGATAATTGTTCATTTGAATTTTCAATATTATGTGATATTATCTAGTACATAATTTAGATCACTATCCTAGAATTCATATTTAAAAAAATTTCTTGATAAATTTACGTAATTATAATTTTCTCACACCACCTAAATTGTTGGGTGGCTCCGCCACTGCATAAGACCATGTTGGGTATAAAGATTAAAGAATGAATTATTTGAATGTGAAGACAGATTATTTTATATTATTTATGACAATGCCAATGCTTTAGAAAGTGGGTCATGTGGCGCAAGACGCGGAGCATCTCTTCTTCAATCTCAATTCTCAAGTGAGATGATGATAAAATATAGAGTAAACACCTTTTTTTGGTACTGGCAATATCTACGAAATCTTTTTTAGTCCCTGGCAATAAAAATGATCAAATTGGTCCCTAACAGTATGCAAAAAGGGTCACGTTAGTGACAGAGGAGTTGACATAAGGACTAACATGGCCCTTTTTTCATAATTTTAGGGACCAATTTGATCCTTTTTTATTGCCAGGGATTAAAAAGGATTTCGTAGATATTGTCATGGACCAAAAAAGGTGTTTACTCTAAAATATAAGTTGCATGATGTTAAGTTTGAAGGGATGGGTTATATTAGGTAAAAAAAAAATTCTAGCCAATTTAAGAGAAGAATTTTGGTGGTCCTGAACCACCATTAATTCAGTGGTCCAAACTAATTAGAATGAGACAATAATTGAAGAGAGAGGAGAAATAAAAAATAAATTTTTGTACAAGTATCACTCACTAAATAGAAGAATCACATAGGACCTGGAGCACCAACAATTTTTCTCTTATTTAATTACTATTCTTCGTTAGATCAGAATTTTAAGAATAGAGAAAAATGCTTAAAATCTTGAGAAGAGAAAAATGATAAAATTAGTTGAGATTCTTATTTAACTTTTGTTGGAAAGTGATAGGTCTATCCCAATTTCGAATGCAATAGTAATATTAGTACTATCATATTCCACTCAATTAATGCCTTAATTACCTTCAAAGAAAATTATAAAAAATGTGAAACATATGATACTGTCCGCGTCGACATAATAATAAATCTCGTGTCTCCAAATGCATCTAACAAAACGATAAAGGAGGAAGTTATCCCGTACGTCAACGTGCTTCCTCTTCCTGCAACTCTATAAATTGACATCGAAGAGACACATACAGTAGAGAAGCAAAAACCAGAAAAGAGAAAGAAAAACAGAGAAAAGAGAAATGACAACAAAGGGGGGCAGTGCTGGAGCTGGAGCTGGAGCTGGTCAGGTGGTGGTAGTCCCGATCACCCCCGAGATCGAGGCAATTGCTCGCTTTGCTGTTGAAGACTACAACAAAAAAGAGGTTTTTAATTTGGATTTTCTTTTTAATTTGAATTTTAGATTATTTTATTTTTTTGTAATTCTGATTGAGTTGGTAATGGTGAATATGCTAATGCAGAAAGCAGCTCTGGAGTTTGTGAGGGTGAAAAGTGCAAAGAGTCAGGTGGTTGCTGGCTTCATATACTTCATCGTTTTGGAGGCAAATCATTATGGGAAGGAAGGGGTTTATGAAACGAAGGTCTTCCAGCCGCCAGGGTCGGGTTCCAAGGAGGTGGAGGAGTTCAAGAAGCTCCTCCTCACTGATGCTCCTTCCGAGTCTAGCATTTATTAGCTAGGTATTTTACTAAACTATACATACAGTTCCTAGCTAGCTCCTCTCTTATATATGTATCAAGTGTGTTCATGAATGACGTACGAATGCAAATCCTTTAAAATCGTCCTCGCTCGCGTTTATGTATTTGCTAATTTGGTGTGAAATATATTGCTGTATGTATTGGTAGCGCGCATTTGGAAGTTAACTGACCATTTTATCACAAATTTGCCAAAACTGTTTATATGGCATATCGAGGAGAATGACCCTTACTTCTTTAAGAACAAGGGTGGATTATATCTTATCATCGTGGACTGATCGAGTAGTCTACTCATTTAATCTTATATATTAAATTAGAGTAGATTCTTTTAAAATAATTTAATCTCTTAGTCTATTCTACTTTCATGAATAACGTGTGACATTTTTATTTTCTACTCTTTTAAATTTTAAATTTAAATCAAAACTAACTATGTATCTTTTTATAATCTTAAATATATTTTTATAATTTATATTTTTTAGGTTTTATTTTAATTAACTGTATACCTCATTCATATATTCAAAAAAAATTTCTTAAATATTCTTACTTGAATTAAAAAAATATTCCTTTTTTACATTAAAAAATAAATTTGATTTCGATCTAGTACTCAGGGGCGGAGCCAGGGGGAGGCTAGGGTGGGCGGCCGCCCCCTGGCCCCACAAAAAAAATTGATACACTTGTAGGCTAGACGTGGTATTGTTGTTATTGTTAAAGATGCTTTTCTGAAAGTTTTGGTTTAAGATCCAAGTTGAAATCTACCTCCACTTCACCTAATGTGTGTGTTATGTGTATCCTTTTCTGTATTTTCTTTTTTTATTTTCATTTGCTATGTTTTGGTTAATGAAAGCTTTCGCATTTTTGCTTTGCTCTCTTGTCATTTGCTTAGTTGTGTTTCTCTGTGTAGTAGTTTCATAAAGAGAAAATGAGTTTACTCTAACTTAAAAGATTATCTTCTTGGGGCAACTTAGTTGCAATCTTTTATTTAGTTAAAAAAGTTATAGTTAAAAACATTGTTTTAGTTGATGTTAACGTTGAATGAAGGCACTATTCTTTTTTCTTTTTTTTTTTAATTATTGCTTTAAACTACATTTTATGTTCGTTGGACCCAATCAATAGTATATTTTTTCAGTCTTTAAAATGTTGTTAAATGTTAATATTTTGATAAGAAAATAGAGTTCCATGAAGGTACGAGGTCAATTGGTAGAAAAAACATTGATATTATGCAGGATAAAAAATTAATTTTCGCCCCCCTTCCCCTCCAATCCTGGCTCCGCCACTGCTGGTACTCCAAATAATATTTAATATTTAAAGAAATTCTAATCGCGAAAGTGGATTTCTTGATTTCAAATATATTGCGCCTTCACGTCCCTGTTGGGATTATTATTAATTGTGTTCCTTGATTTTTCAGGTTACGGAGGATTATGCGTGGTTATAGCTTGGCTCCAGGGCGAAAGTATCAGAATATCAAAGTCATGTTGTGTTATTGTGTATTTGTGGAATAAATGTAGATATTTACTTTTAACGCTACATATTGTACGTGTATGCATTTGGCGTCCTATTTCATAATGAATTACCAGAAATATTATCTATAATGCATTTATGTGGTAAGTAACTAAATGTTGCCTTGATGTTCCATGTGATGAAATAAGTGTTTTTCTTTTTTTACTATATGGGTTCATTCTTTGCCCGTATTGGGCTATCCTTTTGTTTTTTTAGTATACTTAACAAACAGCCCAAAAAACAGAAAGGAAACTTGTAGATTATAATTATGAGAGTAGACACTTATAGACTATTAAAAGTAACATCACGCTACTAATTTCGCAAAGGTGACTAAGTCATATCATCCTCGATTCCTCATACACTTACACACATATCCCCTTATATTTTATTTTTTATCATTTGTTTACGATTATAGTACTATAATTTCTATAAAAAAAAATGCAAAATGACACCGTGTTTATGTAAAACGACTTATGAAATAAGAGATGTAAATTTTTTTTTATTATATGGGTTCATTTTTTCTGCAGTAAATGCAGATAAGTTATCTGCATTGAGCCTAAAACGACGTTGTTTTGGGACGAAAATCAATGTGTTTTTATAATTTTAAATTATTTCAAGATTATAATAGTCTTTATAATTATAATTTTTTAATATTTCAATACCAAATCGACGTCGTTTTGGGAGTAAATACAGATAACTTATCTGCAGTAACAAAGAAATATTTTTCTGTTATTATATTTTATTAGTTACATATTTATTTTTCAAACATTACATTTTTTTCTCCAACTATAATTAATTATGTGATTTTGGTAATAACATATTGGTTCCGTGTAATAAGCCTTTTATCAAGGAAAAATCCCACACTTTAAGGCTTTTATCATTTAATAATAATAATAATAATAATATGTTGGTTTAGATATAAGCAGCTTTGTTAGATTAGCTGCCCCTGTAAATATTGCAGAATGTCAACTAACCAGTCCGTCCGTGTTTGGGAGTAAGAAAGGGAAAATTTTGAAAAGTGAAGGAAATAAGTTTACTTTCTTAAACCACTCTATTAACCTACGTTCCCTTTTTAAGCACCATCCACTAATGACAATTTCAGACGCAGTTTCTTGGTGTAAGGCCTTTTTTAAGCGCATAATTTCAGCAGGATTTGGCCCACCATCAAATCAAACAATCACGCTCTCTACAGAAATATTAACTAAATGTTCCTCGGTTGACAAACTCAACCGGTAGTCTGCCGGCTTCCGCAGGTGATGATCAAATGACCAATACAGGGGGAATCTCCCTTCCCCGTTCTCATGAAGAAACCACGGCTTGGCATCAACCTCGGCAACTAACTTAAAGAATGCACCTTTAAAGTCCTTAAAGGAGTCACTATATACTGAAAACAACCTTTTGGATTCTGATTTCTTTCCACTACGACCCCGGATGCTGGTCCATCCCTTGAGCTCGGCAGGTTCAGACCCGGTGCGAGGAGTGTATATATTAAAAAAGTAAAAAAAAAGAGGCACCGTGCTGGACACGGACAACGAGGTGCATAGTTGTTCGAAGGCAACAATATAAGCCCAACCATTGGGGTGAATTTGTGTGGGGGCAAGGAGAAGGTGATTCAGTAGTTGAATTTTAAAAGCGGAAAATGGAAAACGGATACCAATTTTGGTGATTAAGTCATAGTAGCAGAAGAAAAATGGTGGTTCTTCGGGATTCCGGCCTAAGCAGACGGGTTCGTCTTCGGCAGGGCAGAAAGTGTCAAATCCCACTGGGTTGCCTATGGGAAGCCCGGAGATCTCCTCCGTCGTCATGTATGATCGGAAGCTAAGCACCTCCTCGGTCACCCAGGGGAATTGCCTACGAAGAGTCGTATCTACCGCAGAAGAGCCTTGCTCGGCAGGGCTGACGTCGGCTTCTCGGCCACGGCTGGATGATGTCACTTCAGGGGAAAATTCTGCAGAAGGGGACCCCATCAAAACCTAGAACAGCAAAAGTGGGGGATTAAAAACAGTAACAGTACGTGACAAAAAGTGTACGTACCTGTGCTAAACAAGCTATTGTGGGAAGAGTTGGACGAATCATTAGAGGAAGACAAGGAGGAAGAGGCAGGATCTGGTAATCCGGGATAATGGGTGCATCCCCCTAGCACCACATCGGCCATAAAATCGTTCCCTCTTTCAATAAATCGGCTGCTAAGATAGACACAGTTAAAACACGGATCTATGTTCTTAGCACCTAGGATGGTGGTTTCGGACTGAACAGGAACTGGAACCCGAGTAAGGCCTGGGGCCAGATTAGAAGACGAATTGGCAGGACCTAAGCCTCTACCTAGATTTGGATTGGAGCGTCGGGATGGAACGGCCGAGATTCGACCAGATCGTTGGCGACGTCCTCGTAAGGGAGGACGGGATGGAGAACTTCCTCTGCTTCTACCACCGCGGTAGCTTCTAAGCAGGGCGGCCTGGGTTTCGTCCTGAGTCCGAGGTGCACCGTATAACCAAAACCTCGCTCCGGGAGGGAGGCTCTGGACATATCTATCCTTATCCTGTATGGCTTGTTCTTCCTCCTCTCGTAGGATCTCATCACTACGGCAAAAAATGCGGGGGCATGTGGACGTCCTTCTACCGTGTAAATTCCCCCCGCTCATGCTATTAAGGGGAGAGCAAGGCATAAACAGGTGGGTAAGTTAACAGAAAGGCAACTTGCAGTCAAAATACCCAAGCAAGGCATCCTGAAGGGTATATACCTATGTACGCGTAGCTTAAACAAGCATACCCAGAAACAGAAAATGCGCCCTTGACAAACATGCATTCGAGCAAAAGGAAAATCAAAGCAAGAGAGGAGGAAAGATAAGGTAGGTTGAAGCACATACCTGGTGTAAGTAAAGGATGTGAGAGGTAGTAGATGGTGGGAACCTCGTGGAACGAAATGCAGGAAATATTGGAGGAGTTTAGACAGCGCGCAATGCGTAATACAGCAAGTAAAAATGTAAGAAAGGAAGAGGCACAAATCAAATAGACGAAACCCGCGAAACCAAAGGTCAAGGGTAAAAGGGTAACTTCGGGGGAAAAGACGGTTGAAAGGACGCTGGGGCAGTCGCAATAAATGCCAACGGCTCAAGCGGGCGTAATGGCACACGTCGTGTAGATATGAGAGGGCCACGTGGAAGGTTGTAATGATTGCTTGCAAAAGGAGGATCTGTTGCGATTACCTAGGCACCCTTTTTTTTACTCCGTTATCCTGAAGGCTCTGCTACTCGGCCTTACACCCCAGCACGCTGAAGGCTTTGCTACTTGGCTTACATCCCGGCATCCTGAAGGCTCAGCACACCGGGCTGGGGGGCAACTGTTATGGACCAGGATTAGGCCCATGATCAGCAAGGCCCACGATCAGCGCAGGCCCACAGGTAAGCATTATAAATAGGAGCTGGACGCTACAGGTATGACCTAATCTCTTTTTACTGATACACACAATCAAGACAGTACACACA